ACTTACCACTTCCTCCGCTCACAATGCATATGTAGACCGCATAACATTCAACAGGCTACTACTGTGCATTTCTAATGAAATATTTTCCGTCGCTATATTTTTACACCTAAAACAAAGGGCAGAAAGAGGTAGAGTTGGTGTTCTTTGCAGCGCCTCAGCGATTGCTGTGCTCTTCTTTGCAGTAATTTCGGAGTGAAGGCGGTGGGCAACAGAACGGAATCCGTGAAGCTCTGTTGATTCGTTGCTCGAAAAATTTTCATCAGAACGAAAAGAATTCGTTCATATTTCGATTTCATAGCTGCCGATATCACAGTTTTTTGTTGGGAGGGTCCTGTGCGTTCCCTTTTCTTCGGAAAATTTTCGTAGTTACCACGTTTTCCGCCTGAATTCTTTAACTGCACGTGAAAGCGATGAATGGCGCAGCTGCGCGTGCTATTCATTTGCCAATGATGACGTGGCTTTAGATGCGAGCATTCTCTAGGAGAACTCGGGCATTTATTCAACCTTTTCAGCCAACTGTTGAAAGATCCGATGGTTCTGTTCGCTGGTTACAAAAACCCACATCCTTTGGAACATAAGGTAATGCTTATTTTCTAGCTCCTTTCGTTTATTTCTTCTTATAAACTTCTTTTGTTGAGTATTTGCTAGTCCTGTCAAACCACTGAAGAGTGACTTCTGATGGGAGCACTGGCTACTCCTTGAGCTTCTTATTTCCTTCCTCGTTGCGTCGCAATTTCAACGTCATCTCGTCGATAAAGGGGTTAGGCGGAACTGCAAATCGTAGAACTTCCATAGGGCGGAGCAGGGTACAGAATCGTTGGGAGGTCGTGCTTGGTTGCTGTAGGGGCGGGGGATGGACTTGGCCTTGATAGAATTTTAACGACTGCGATGAAAATTTTCCGGTTGCTGACCTTCCTAATTCGCCCCCTCCCGCTTGACGGTAGCTTTTTGGGAAAAAAAGCCGAAAATCTTGGGAAATTGGGGAAAAGGTGGAAGGTGGGAAAAACTTGGGGAGATGGTAGTCAGGACCGACGGGGAAATCGGGAGTGGGATGGGGGTCTTTCTGACTCCGCTTTACACCACGATCCTTGAGCACGGTAACCCATTAATTCATAGGCATTGTTCAACGACTCCTATTTGATTTGTAGCTCTCAGTCATTCTCACCTGGGGTTAAGCCGCGTTCATAGCTTGCGACCATGAAGAAAGTGAAGAAGTGCCGAAAGTGCGGAATCTGCAGAAATGCCGAATGTGAAGAAAAGCAATAGATATGTATCGATTTGACTTTCCGCACCTTCCGCACTTTCCGCACTTTCCGTACTTTCTTCAAATCGATACGTATCTAATGCTTTTCTTCACTTTCTGCAGATTGCGCACTTCCACACCTTCCGCACTTTCCGCAGTTTCTTCAAATCGATGCATATCTATTGCTTTTCTCCACATTCGGCATTTCTTCAGATTCGCACTTTCCGCACTTCCGGCATTTTCTTCACTTTCTTCAAATCGATACGTATCTATTGCTTTTCTTCACTTTCCGCACTTTCCGCACTTTCGGCACTTCTTCACTTTCTTCATGGTCGCAAGCTATGAACGCGGCCTTATACAGGCGCAGAGAATAATGGACTGATGCTTCATAATGCTGAGATTTCTCTAAGGTGCGCGTTGAATACACAACACTTAACCCATGCTCATTTTAAAATTTCTTCGCTGCCTTTCATATTTGCTTTTCCAATTCCCAGCCATTTTGACCGCGGTTTCGCGATACCTTGTTAAGAAAGTCACTGTGAAAGCTACATCCAGTTTGATCTTACGCTTCAGTAGTCACTGCATCAGCATGTGGTTGTTCAGATATTGTTGCGGGTTCAAACAACCGGACAAACTACTCCAGCAGATGCTCTGATCAACGCGATCACTGATCTTATTGCTGAGCTTTCACTGTTTGAAGAAAGATTCCGGGTTTGTTTTATTCATTCAAGTTTTCGACGATTCTTATTCTGATTCATCATTTCATTTCCACCTTTTCAGGAAGCCGGCTGAAGGAAAGAAGAAGATGAATGAAACAATATACTAGAAGTTAAATCATTTTCAATCGGGTGGTCGATGTTGAAAAATTTGTTTCACTTCTCTATTGCTTGCATTTGGATCTCTTCCTTCAGTGTTTGCTGCTTCTGGTACTTCCTACACTGATCTTGCGGTGGTGGTTGGCCTTGCGGCTTCCTGTTCTAGAAGTTACAGGAACGCAATTTTTCATTTTTCAGTGCTCATTTATTTGTTGAGGTATGCTGGTGTACAGACTAATTTTTCCCAACCGATGTTGTTTTCTTATATTTCTGATAAAAATACTTTTGTCGTTTACTCGTTCACCTTTGCTAATCCCGTCATTATCGGAAATACCTTTCATCTTTCTGAGCTTTTTGAATTTCCACGCAACCATGTTTTCCAATTTTAATGTGGTTCAATTTCCTTTGCAGAGGTGGCGGATGTGAGGAGCCATGCGCCTTGAAGATGTTGTAGTGCTGTCCATATCATTATTTATTTTACCAGTTATCTGTTTTTCTGGTTTCTATGACGTAGATGAAGTTAGGTGGGGGTTTATGGATACTAATTGCAAGGAATCCATCATTCAATGTTCGATGAATTCAGGAGCACATTGTATGAACCTGACATTTTCTCTGTTCTGGCTGGAATCGATCCTGCTTTCAATTTGAGCACTGTTTCTTTGAAGAATAAGGAGAGTATACTGAAAAAAATCGTGGCAGATTTGCCAACGGTGGGTCAGATTTCCGCTTCGTTCATTTTATGCCTTTATATTGTAATTACAGTATATTTTAGGTCGGAGATGAGGGATATATTTTCATCAAGAGCAAGACTGGGCAGAATTTCGCATGCAAAATGCCAAAAGCCCAAGCTCCCGAGAAAGTCCAGGCAGAGAGCTATAATCCCAAGTACTTGGCTGAATTGGTTTCAGCCAGCTTCTATGTGAAGAACTGCATCAGCAAGGTGTTTTGAATGTCTCAAATGTTTTACAATCCAAATGTTTTGTTTGTGGTGAACTTACAAAACAATATTTTTTTACGCATTATTTTCCCTGGTTGTAGGATAACGGCTGGTGGAATTACAAGTTGTGTAGAGGAAAAGATGTGAAACAGTGGCACGGAGCAAGTATGTGTGTTAGCATTTCTGTTTTTAATGAAGTTTTATTCTTTTCTCATCAGTGCAATACTTTTCAGAAAACGAAGCCCAACAAATCACCAATTCTCTTGGTTTCTTTCTTGGAAAGTATGACGTTCCACATTATCAGGTTAGATATTAACTGTTTGCTTGTTATGTTCGGATGCTGGCTCTTACCTATTGAAGTAGCTCACGCTCATAGGCTTACGTTTGTGCTGTAGAACCAGAGACTTCGCCAACAAGACGCGGTAGGTGTATGTCGAATGGTTTATGATGTTTCCGTTGTCCGAATCCCAGTTTTCTGATTCTTCAATCGTGCAGATTCCGATTCGATAACTATGTAATTCATTCGTGGATTCTTCGATTCTATTAATTCCACGGGGCTTCTTTGGGGAAGAAGAAAAAGATATGTGGTGGAAGAAGCACACTGGTAATCAGCAAAGTATTACGTGGGATTAGGATCGTTTCTTTCGCCGTTTGGAGTGCGAGCGAAGAAGATCGTCTGCATAGGCGAGGTAGTTGAAGGGTGTTGACCAATGGGAGAACCTTGATCGTCCCTGTCGATCTCATCAAGCCAGAAATGGAGTGTTAGAATGAAGAGCTATGGAGATAATGAGTAACCCTGTCGAACGCCTCGTTGAGTGTCGTTCTTCTTCTCTTTTCCGTTAAGAACCAGAAATGGTCGACAGCAGCAACACATGGATGCAGCCTTTTTCCGTGGATCTTAGCATCAATTCCGCTGCTGTACTCTTATTCTGGGGGAACTATAAAAGAAATGAGAACTGGGGTATGTAAGAAGTTTGTTAACCTCTTATTGCAGCCTTCGGACGCAAGGCCCATTTTCTTTTGCCCCAGGGCAAGCCATAAGCTTCCAATTAGCGAAATTATAATGCGGTTATTTGTTTGTATTGTAGTGTGGTTATGCGGTTTACGCCTATGGGGATAGTTGTAAATGGTGCTTCGAAAGTGAATGTAAACTCGGAAAGCGCCTCTCGCTGTTGGACGCATTCAGATATCGCAAGTGGACTGAACTTGTTCTTTCATGCTGCAGTTCTGGGCCGCTTTCTGTTAAATAGGGTGAGAGGCAATGGGACAGCAGTGCCTCGACCGGGCTGATCTCAGCATTTTAGGTGAAGGCACTTTATTTCTTGAACATTTCAGACGTCCACGCCTGAACGGCTAATGTATCTTGAAGAGCACTACGAAGGTGGAACCGCTATGGGATCTTCCCGATCATAAAAATCATCCAAGGAGAACGGCAGTTAGGGTGAGACTGTTTTGTACCATCTGTTCGCTAGTTCTGTCGTAACATTAACCTTCTAGTACGAATGCGATCCGCAATTATCAACTAGTGAGGCATATATTGACCATGTGGAAGAAGCAGCCTCATGTGAATACTTAATCATTGTCAAAGTTGGTTCTCTGTGCACCCTTAGTGCTTTCATGCCTCCAAGCCTGGTTACGTTTTTGTCGTTTGACGTAGTGTTTTTTTTTTGACCAGATTTAACCTTTTTTTTTCGATCGCCTTACATTAGTCGCTGTCATGAAAAAAAGGGGAAAGGAAAAAACGGGATACCGCGATAGCTTACTTTCGCTTTGAATCCGGCGTATGGGGTGTTGAGGAAGGCTTGCTGGTACTCTCATATGTTGGGTCACTCTAGCGTGGGGGGGGGGGGCTATAAAAGCACTCCATTCTAATAGGCGATGAAAGTCTTCCATTACATAGAAATGCTTGAAGATCTAGACTAAAGTTGTCCGATTCATGATGCATTTTCAGAATTATCGAGGATTTTCAATGGCTTTACTGCACTTAAAGGAAATTTTTGTCATTTCAGATCAGCGAATAAAATTATATGTCAACCTTTCGTATCTAAGGAAGCAGTCGAAAAGTTCCTAGAGGATACTATACGAAAAAGAGCTGAAAAGGTTGGTTTTATTCCATTTTCTCAAAACTGGTTGCTGTGAATGTTATAACATTACAGAAAGAAGCCGCCATAAAGGCTGCACAACTGTTGGAAACTCTTCGACGGATACAACGTCGCCGTGCCGCTATGCGGCGAACTGAACTTCTCCGAGATTCGACTGTGGAAAAAGCAGCCTTGCGTTCTTATATCGATAATGAGTATCAGAAAGCTGCATTGGAATATATACATGCAACTTTGCATGGTACACTTAGAGAGGAATTCTAACTGTCCATTGAGTAGCTGAAATTTATTCTTTGTTTAGGCCGCCTGGGCGATAAGCAGCCTGATGGTGCCGGAAACGTTGTCGACACATTGTTGCGAGAAAGCGACGATATAGATGAAGTATTTTGTGAGTTGTTCAGTTATTTGTTAGGTAAGGCAGCGTTCAGACTTCGCGACTGCAACGCTTCGGTCGCGCTTCGACGCGATCGCTGCACGATTTCGACTGCGTCGATCGCGTTGAAGCGCTGCCGTCGCGAAGTCTGAACGCTATCTAATACCGAGTGTTATTCCAATACGGGAAGCGAGGTGTGCAAACCAATAAAACTTGAAGGAGCTGGTGCCAATAAACCTTCATAATGATGAGATTTATGTGTAGCCTGTGTTTTCTATTTCTGACCAGAAAAAGGGAGTTCCGTCTGTTACCTCAATTCCAAGATGATGGCTATCTTTTAGACAATTTCGATTATCTGAGTGAGCGTGATCAAGATGCTGGCAATCTATGGTACTATTTTCATGATAAAACGTGGAACAAAACACATTTCCCGAAGTCTTTGGATTACGTAGATGTAATTGCTTCGATCGGTTCTGCTTTTTCTGTAAATGATTTTTCATTTTTCTGCTGGAAGAAGTTTTGATATATCGTTGTTTAGATTATGAATGGATATTTTAACACTGCTTCGAAATTGATCAAGAACCATGCAGATTTGGCGTTGACGATGCGGCTGTTTAGGCATCTCCGTGGGGATCCATGGAATCCTAAGCAAAATTTGTTGCTACATGGTGCATTAAGTAACGATGTCAGTTTTTCACGTTATCTGTCCCAATTACCAGGAAATCATCAGGATTCATCTTTTTGACTTCTTTAGTTGCGCTCAGCAGTCTTGCAAGATGTGCCCCTGTTCATTGCTCCGAATGGTGATGACTCTTTGGATGAAGAGTTTGCTAGAAATGTTGCTTTTGGTAACGGCTTATTCGGATTCAGAGCGTGGGTTTGACTGTTTTATCCAGTAATTTTACGA